AATTGTAACGTTGTTAATTATCTAATAAAAAGCCCCCCGGCCAAAGAGGTCACCTTAAACACAAAAAAAAAAAAAAAAAAAAAAAAAAATAATAAATACTCAATTGTTCGTACTATTTATTTTATATTATTTGCTAGATCGTATCTACAAAATCATACTATCTTTTTAATTACTATATTCACAAATAATATAAAAAATTTATTCCACTTATTTTATTATTATAATCATGAATTTTTTTTAATATTTAAATTATTCTATCTAATTAGTCTTGTACAATCTGTTATATAATATAATAAATAATATTAAAGATAAGTTATTCTAATGAGAAATCATTAGTAATATATTATAAAATAAATTAATAAATTAATTGTAATTGTTGTAATAAATAATAAAATACATTCGTTATCTTATAATCATAATAATAAGTTATTCTTTCTAATCTTGATTTCTCTTCTCGCAATCTATATCATTATCTTAAATATGATTTTTTAAATAATAAAAGCTTATTCATACAATTTCATTAATTACTATACTTACGAACAACTTTAAAAATTTATTCTACTTATCTGTTTAATTATTATTTTCACTTTTTTCTTTTCTTATATTTAGCTTATCATGTCTAATCAATCTTGTTCGATTTGCTCTATAAAATAATAAGATAATAAATTTCTTTATTTCAAATTAATAAATTTAGCATTAAACATTGTAATAAATAAAAAATATATTCATTATCTTATAATCTGAAAAATAAAGAAATATTAAATAAAACAAATAAATACAAAATACTACAACTATAAAAAGCTCAACAAAATGATACCTATTATTTTCAATCTTGTTCCAATCTTTATCTTCATTTTAATCTTTAAAATCATATCTTCTATATTCATAGCTTTTTGCTTCATTAAGATTGTTAGCGGAAATGACAAATTTGTAACTAAATTCACTTTATATTGTATTACTGATGATGATGAAGAATTTAGAGAAATCATCTACAAAGGCTTCGCAGCAAATGCTAAATCATTAATATCTAATTTTGAAAAAAATTCTATTGTATATATAGTTGGAAGATATATCTATAATAAAAATATTGAATAAATAAGTTAAATTCAACCCAAAAATTTAAAAAAACTATTTTCTCAACATATCTTAGTACAACCTAACACCTTTATAAAAAATATTACCTCTCTTTGTCATTATTCTACCTTTTTGTTAATCTATCTTTTATAAATTCAGATAAAGTTTCAATATCTATGTTAACTAATAAATTTTTCCCTAAATTAAACTTTTTGTTTGATATTAAGATCAACCTTGTTCAAACTATTCCTGTTTTATTCTCTCATAATGACTCCATGCTTACACCAGAAGATCTCTCTTACATATTTCCCCTGTTATTATACTTCGCTCTAGCAGTAACTAATTCATACAAATCTAATGATAATATAGGCCAACAAAGTTTTATATTGTCCAAAAATATACTCTCTGTAATTGAAAAATTTAAGCTCAGTCTTCAGAGCAAAATACCATATATAATCTTTTCTGAGATTAAATAGAGTTATGTATTTACCAAAGCCCAATCTTCGAACTTATCTCAGAATAAAAAATTAAATATATGCAAAGCATTTAACAGTCAACTTGACTTAATTGAGAAATAGTATATAATTGCAAATTCTCAATTTTCTAATAAAAAAAGAAAATTTCTTTCTTTTCCTTCAATATCAAACACTTCAGATGACAAATCTCCACCTATCGATCTTACTACCTTGGTATTCCAAATCCAAACTAATGGATCCATGTCTTAGCCTTCCTCAGATAAATCTCAACAAACCCTTCACAACACTCTGCAACTCCCCAACAACCCTCTCTTATATTTCAACAACTCTCTATAGTCCAACAACAATCCTCTATCTTCCCTCATCAATCCACTTCCACACCTTCTGCTACTAAAAAATAACCTTAGACTAAATTTCTCTTGCTCTCTTTTTTCTCTTATAAATACTATCTCAAATTTCTTTGTAACTAAAATAAGATACTCACCTTTTTAAATTTTTGTCAAATTCAAAATATTTATTATATATATGGGGTCTTTGCCTTGAAAATCACCTTCCGACATTTCCGATCGGGCTAATTCGGACGAAATCAAACCCGCGTATTAGTTCATGTTTATATGTAAACCTCCTTTGCCTTTATTGATTCAATAGTTTATTCGATAAACTATTGAATCAATAAATACAAAGGGGAATTTACATATAAACATGAATTAATACACAGGTTTGATTTCGTCCGAATTAGCCTGATCGGAAATGTCGGAGGGTGATTTTCAAGGCAAAGACTCCATATACAATATATTTATAATAAAGTTTCTACTTAACTATTGCTATACTTTAAATCTTATAAACAATTTACAAATTTTACTAATATTACTCTCTATAAATTCTTTATTCTTATTGTATTATCACAATTTAAATCAAATTTTACCTAAAAATATGCTACTAGCCAAATAGATAGCCTATTACTTATCTCTCTACATTCTTCGTATATATTATACTATTCCAATTTCAATTAAATTTTACCTAAAATTATACTAACAAAAAAATAAATAGATAAATATAATAAATTAAAAAATAACTAAATAAGCTAAAAAAAATATAAATAAAAAATAAATATTATCAAGTTAATTTATCAATATACTCGTACCCACTTGATTCTTATTACAATATACAGTATTTTATAAATCTTAAAACTCTCTATTAGTTTAACTTAAATTTTTTCAAAAAAAAACTTTTTCTTAACTACTTTATTATGAACATAAAACCTTTACCTATGCCTATCTATGAAATTCAACAGTTTCTGATTATTACCTTTACTTCTCCTAATAATAATTCTGAGATGCTCAATACCTCTTGCAATAATCTATTTCGATATTATCATTTCAGAAATGAAATAAACCAGAACTTATCAAATGCTCCTGTTTCTGACAATACTTGTTCTCAACCACCCCTTTCTTATACTTTATATAATGAATATACTCCTCTTCTTTAATGCACTGCTTTTTGCAAACTTTTAACTAAATTTTAATCTAAGATACTAAATGATTACCTTGTGCATACTGTTCAATTTTAATGATAAAATCTTCTGCACAATGAATCCCTTACAATGCTAAAGAAAACTATCTGTTATCTTATGTTTTTAACATACCAGTTCATATAAGATTAAATAATCAAAATACCAACCAAGTAGCTGTCTGTAATAGATGCAAAAAACAAACCACGAGATGCTACCTACCAATATTATCTCAAATTCTACATGAAATTCAAAATATCCTAATGATATATAGAAAATATCTTTCTCCAATTTATATGAACTGCTCCTTAGGTCACACACCAGGCACAAACCACTACTCTAATTATTATCACTTAGAAGGCACAATTAGAATTACTTATAATTACAGGTTTCTTCAAATATACTCTGGATCAATTGGTGCTTATCTGAATACAAATGAACCTTCAACATGGTTTTACTCTTCACTCCTTCTCACGTCTGACTAGCTAAAACAAAATAATAACCTTATTAAAGAATATAATTTCAATTTATTGACAATGCCTCCTATTCCTGAATTATTAGTTCCTATCCTATTACCTTTAGCCTACTAATCTCTTTCTATTAACTCAACTACAAGCCTTCTCTGAATCTGTCTTCCAAATGATACCCCGTGCCCTCCTGATTTAGTCATTCCAAATTCTTCATTTTCACATGAAATTCACAATCAGAATTCTTACCATAGCTACTTAATTGCTACCTCTATATTGAACTCTAATAATGCAAACTTTTTTCCCCTTCTTTTTAATAATCCTGATCTAGAGGTTCTTATTTTTTCTGACCTCTTTTCTAATAGTAAAGGTTATTATGAAGACCTTAAAAGATATTTAAATCTTCAACCCTTGATAGACTCTTATAGCAAATACATAAAACTGAGAATGCTATCACCAGATGCACATTTTCGCTTACACTAGTACTGGCCACACTAGTCTTACTTAACTCTTAAGAAGAAATGTCATTTTTAAAACCAACATTACTTACTTTCAACTAGGTCAATTAATAGAGAATTTCATCCAACAAGAGCTGACTTAATTGCTATGAGCTTTTACAATAATCACTACATAATTAACGAATCAAAATCTACAACAATCCTATCTTACCTTAAAACAGCTGCTCTATTTTTTTAAAAAAAAACAACACCAAGTTAACGCAATGATCAGAATCTACGGTCTACCCAAATCTTCTACATCATAATAAGATTAATAAAATATATACTTCTATATAATTTATAATATTTAGTTAATTACTATAACCCCAAATAAAAAATACCCAAATATCATATACGTTTTAGTTAGGGTATAGACATTTATCAGGTGATTTTTTGGGGGGGTCAAAAAAATTAAAATTTTATATATAACACCTGATCAATTGTATATTAAGAGCTAGGAGGGGGTAAGCCTCTGATAAAAAAAAATCAGGTAATAAATGTCACTACCCTTAGACTTTGTACCAAGTTACATTCAATTTCGTACAAAGTAATGCTTAATTTTGTACAAAATGAAAGTTAAATTCATATGATATTAATAGAAAATAACAATTATAATAGAACATTAATTCAAAATATCTCTTGATTTGCACTTCTATTTAAGTAAATTTAGTATCTTCCAAATCGTCTCATTAAAAGTATTCGAATCATACCAAAATAATCTAAATTCTATCAATAAATTAAGAAATATTCTTGTTTGATTAAATTATTTTAATATTCATTTTCTATTAATATTGTATGAATTTAATGGTCATTTTGCACAAAATTGAGTTACACTTTGTACGAAATTGAATATCACTCACTTTGCTCGAAATTAATCCTTTTCTACAAAACTGTTTAAAACAACACTATACCTGATTTATAACATAAGATAAATTTTTAATCCAATTTGAAATACACAATAGATATAAATATAAAAAAATGATATAACAAAACATATTTCAATTATCACTGACCCATACAAAAAACCTGTGAATCTACTTATAAATTAAACCTTTTACAAAATATTAATAAACCTACTTTAATATTAAGTATCTTATCATAATAATTCAAATAACATTATAATATCTTTTTTTTTAATTATTATAAACTAAATATATTATTTACCATTCAAAATATTTACTTATTCAAATTATTACTTTTTATAATTGCTATATTCACAATTGCACTTATTTTAATATTAATAATTTTCAAATTTTCTTATTTTTTTAGACTTTATCCAAGCAATCATTCTCTCACTTACACTCAATACTTTTATCAACTGATAATTGCAACTCTTTGCCTTCTAATTGTCTATTACATGTATACATGTTTTACCAAAATTATTTAAATAATATAAAAAATAAATTATGGAAAAATTCAAACCTATCTGGCTAGGGAAAATAGGAACACTTCTTTGAATGTGATGAGTTTCAAAACAGAGACACAATTTACACTCATGGATTTGCCTATACTGAGAAAAAAACAAATGAATTAATCACTTTAGAGCCAATGTATCTGACTCATCCTAGATCCTAAACTTTACCAATTAGTCACTACTTTTCAAATCCATCATTGTAACCAAAGATGTAGACCACAAGGTCATATAGACAAACAGTGCATTAAAAGATTTCCCCAACCTCTTTCTGAATGTATTGTTTTTCTAATAACCTTCGTTACATTTACTAACATATCAAAGAAGAAGATAGAATAGTTATATCTTATCATTCAGAGACTCTACTTATTTGAAGAGAACATATAAACTTCTAATATATAACTTCAAATAGTTTTGCAAGATACATAACTAAATATGTAACCAAACTAGAACCATCTGAACTCTTTGATATCAATAAACAAGACAATTATAGAAGACACATTATGGCCTATCAACTTGGTGCTATGGAACTAATTGTACTCAATATTCCTTAACCAGATACTAAATATCTGTCCTATACCTTCCTTTTGCCCTATCTAAACTTAAACCAAGATCCATCAAACCTGTTCATCTACTTGCTTAAGCAAATGACCTAGAAGATGATAATGCTATTAATAATATACTTTCTTACTGGGATGGCGCTATTGACAAATATTTTGACCGTCCAACCCATGAATGTTTTACCAATATTACATATCCTAATTACTTTTGTAACTACACTATCGGATCTAAGCAACCTAGTCAAAACTCCTCTTTATTTCATACTCGTGATCGTAAAAACAGACTCATAGTTCAAAGAAAACACTCTATACTTTTATGATTTATATCTTACAATATACAAAATGGTGAACCATTCTTCTTTTAACATTTATTGTTCAAATTTTCTGCTAGATTTGAACAAGAATTGCTTAACAGATTCAACACTTATAAAGATCGTTTTCAATCTGCCTTTTCTTTGAGATTTTGCCAAGAAACTAAAGCTCTAAGATCCAGTTATCTACATCAAAAAACTTCTTTGTCAGACTCATATACCTCTATACTAAACACTCTATTATAAAATTTAAAAAATTATAACTTATTTAATTTAATTTTCAAACAATTCCTATTGCTAGAAAAATACTGCTCTTACTTTACCTTTTATTCTTTATTATCTTTAGATAATAAACAATACAAAATATACTCTACTATATGTAATATATAGGGACTATCATCAACTGGAAAATACCCTTACTTTTTCCTTACTAGATTTGCTAGCACAGGCAAAAGCTTCCTTCTACATCAAATCCTCTTCTTCTTACAATTAAAAAATCCAAATTATCTACTTATTGCCTCTACTAGTGTAGCTGCTCACGTGAATAAAAAAATACTACACTTCTTACTAAAAATTCACTTCTATAATGGCCACTATGAAACCCTAATCTATTATAACGAAGAGGATGAAGCTAACCTAAAAAAAATTGAATACATAATAATAGAAAAAGTTTCAATGATAGATGGCAATCTTTTTTCTTTTACTAGTGATATCTTTGCAAAAATCCATAATAACAATTGTATCTTTGATAAAATACCTACCTTAGTAGTTGGTGATTTAGCCTAGCTACTCCCTATCAAACCAAAATATGTTTTTCATTTACCTGCTTGGATTCTATTTTTCCTTCTTTTCCTAACTCTCCTGCAAAGACAATGTACTGATCTAAAATTCTATAACATCCTCCAAGAAATTTGAATTGGCCAATTATCCTCTAAATCACTATCAATTATCCAACAAAATGTTGACTCAAATAATGACTCTGCTGTATTCTATGATACTACACATATTGTGGGCACATGCCAAGATGCTCAGAACATAAATAAACTTTTATATACCTATCTTCCCTTTGATCAAGAGTCCTTTAACCCTTATATCTCATTATCTGAAAACACAATTGATTTTGAACCCTTAGAACACAATCATCCTTACACACAATTCAAAAATTTAACAAACCTACCAAATTATATACACCTCCAAGAAGGAGTACATATTATGTTTCTAAACAACAAACTATTTTCTGATGACATCTGTAATGGATTCATAGGAATTATAACAAAACTATTTAACAATGTGACCATTAAAATAACTTTTTCTATTTTCACAAACATAACAAAAGTCATAATTCAAAAAGAAATATCTTACTTCTTTATTAATGGAAAAAGAGCCTCGTGAAAACAATTCCCTCTTCAAAATGTATTTGCTTTAACAACCCACAAAGTACAAGACCTGACTCTATCTCATGTGACTACTAGTATCGACCAAACTATATTTGCTGAAGGTCAAGCCTATGTTGCAATGAGTAGAGCTACTTCCTGAGCAAACCTCAATTTATTAACCTTTGATACCAAATATCTAAAAACCCCAAAAGCAGCTCTAAATGAATATAAAAAACTATATTCAATACATTCTAGAAGACTCAGACCTCTACAATAACCTGTTAACCAAATCAATTATCAACCTTACCTTCTTTTCTTTCACTTTCATACCTTTCTAAAACTACCTGTTTACTTTAGTGTTTAGTAAACAATAACGATCTAACTATTATCATTACATCTAAATTAATTCATGATATCATAAAACAAAACTATCACCCTAACCATTTAAATCTATTATATTATATTCTTTAAATCTCATTACACTACATCATTCATGCTTAATCCACCTATATACCAATACTCTACACCAAAATCATCTTTAATAACACAACAATTCTTATCATTCCTATATTCAAAACCCATATTTTACTTTAAAATTGCTATCATACATACAATATATAACCCTACTACATTACCTCGATCATACGTATATATATACTTCTATTTTTTTTTAACTTACAAACTACTTAATTTACTAATGCTTATTTCTAAACAATTTAACTCATTTATTATATCCACTTTACTAGTCTCAATATGTACAACTCTTTTCAACGATTACTTGGACCAACTTTTCAAAACAAAAATTTTCAACAAAAACAGTAAAACTATGCTAGAAAAGAAAACTATAAGACTGAAGAAAACCATAAACCAGCACCTATTATTTAGAGATAGTTCTCATATGCTATCTGCTAATAGGTTTAGAGCTTATCACTCATCATGAAGATGGCACTTGTTATTTAGAAGTAGTTCTTATATGCTACTTGCTAACAAGTTCAAAGTTTATCACTTACCGAAAAGAATATCAGCAGTGTGTTTGGATCTACTCATTTTATTATTTTTGGCGAAAAATATATTCTCTTTTAAGAAAAGTATAAGGTCTATACTCTTTACTATCACCCACTTGTGCTTACAACAAAATTTTCGAAAAAAGTGGGCAAAACAGCTTACCCTCATCAAAAGATTGGCATTGTTTACTCCTTCCAAATTCGGTCGACCTGGTAGATTGCAACCACGTGTTTTGTTTAATAACAAATATATCGCTACTTCATGTGACAAAGTCTGTCAACTAGTCTATGGTTAAAGGTATACCTGAAATTGGTCATATAGTCAGAAAGAAACTAATACGTTAAGACAAAGTCTTACAGCAGAGATATATAGATGTTGCATTTGTTATATAATTTTTAAAGCCTTGTACAGATTACAATAGTACTATTAGGTCTTTTTTTTTTTTTGTTGTTTTTTCTTTTTCAAAATTTGTGCTTTTTTTTTCTTTTAGTTTGTTTATTTTCTTTTTTGGTTGTTTTCATTAAAAATTTTTTTTTTCCCCTTTTGTCTCATGCCCCTTGAGAAGAAGAAAAAATTAAGAGAGAAATTAGTGCTAATATTTTAGTTTTTTAAGAGCTAATATTGGTTACAAAAGAGTGAAAACCCCTTTTGAACAAAGTTCATAAAAAGAACTTTTTTTTAGCTTATCCGTAAGCTTTTGCAATAAGTTGTGCTTGTGTACTAAAATAGACAACTAAGTGAAGTTGGGCTTTAGATTAGTCTTAAAATTAAATGTATATAAATTGTATATACTAATAACTAAAGAGGTCAAGCCATGGCAAGACTTATCAAAGAAATAAAAAAAAAAAAAAAAAAAAATATCCACTTTACTACTAAATTACCCAAATCCTCAATTCAAATCAAAAAAAAACTCCTTTTCTCTTATATCACCTTATATCATTACCCTTACAATACTCCATATCTCCTAATCCTATCTAAACACTTAGTCATCTCAAACTTTATAACTAATTCATATTATATTATGCAACATATTTTCTTTCAACTATATCTAATCTGTATTAAACTTATTTATTAAACTCTACTTAAAAAATCATACTCCATATTTGTCTCTTCTTCTGTTATAATATTCTTCTATATTTTCACCTTACTCACTACAACTGCATCCTGTACTATGCAAACCTTGTTAATATTTAATAATTATATAATAATACTGTATACTGTATATTTTGTATATAGTTAGCTATTTATAAAAAATCTATAATAGATTTTTAAAGATAGCTAATATAATTAAAAGTTTAATCTTGATAGTACATATATATATATATTGTATATTTAATACTAGAGGTTTAATCTGATGAATAGTATATTTAATTAATAATTTACCAGTTAACAGAAAAATAAACATAGTATAATGTGATGCAAATTACTATGTAAATCCAATATAGTGTGAATTTGAAAAATTTTACTATTCATCTAAAGAAAACTTTTTTTATACTAAGTTAATCAATTTTGTAAATTAATTAGAAGTTGTAGAGCTCGTTCTTGCAGTTCTAATAGTAGTTAAATTATCCAAATCAGCCTAGTGGATACCAAGATATTTTTAAAAACGTGTCAATATCTATATAAAATCTCTATGTAAACAATATGAGATGAAGTCAATAGAAATAAGACAAATTTATCTAATAAATTTGTCCTATTTCTATTGACTTCACCTTATACATTGTTTACATATAGATTTTATATAGTCATTGACACATTTTTTAAAGATATCTCAGCATTCACTAGGCCAATTTGAATGATTCAACCACCATTAAAACCACAAGAATAAGCTCTATAACTTTTAATTAATTTACAAAATTGATTAACTTAGTATAAAAAAAGTTTTCTTTGGACAAATAGTAGAAATTTTTTAGATTCACACTATATTGGATTTATATAGTGATTTGCATCATGTTATATTATATTTATTCTTCTGTTGACTTTAATTAAATATTTACCGAATATTCAAATACTTAAATAAGATTTTTTTTACCAAATTAAATATTCAAATATTTAATTTATTTACCAAATAATTTATTTATTTATTATTTTTTTTTTTTGATAATCATGTCACAACTTAATTTTATAATATAGTATTTATATTTGTAATAAATGTATAATCTATTTATAGCTATACTATTTTAAACTAAAGTGTGGCTCACCCGGTTGCCAAATGGTATCTATGTGTGACCTGCCAAAGTAGAAATGACCTCGCTACTTCCTTTTTATCTACTTCAGATAACAAGTCTGCAGTTCATCGACCAGAATCTACAGCCTGTTATGATTATAACTAATTTTTGTTCCATCTGAACTATCTACTAGTCCATATCCATTTATTTATTTTCTTTGTTACTATATTCAAACTTTTTTTGAATAAGGCTCATCAGTTTTTTTCTGCTTTTTTTCTTTTGGGTCTATCTTCCCTTTCTTCAAGTTTGTCTTGTGGTTCAGCCATAACTAGTTTTTCTGGTACTTTCTTCTTCTGGGTTTTTTTTTCTTTTTTTTTTCTTGGAGTCGATTCCAAGCTCTTTTTCCTATTTTGTAACTTCTTCACAGTGTTATAGCTATATTTCTTTCTGGAAAATGGTATCTCACTATTCGAGTATTATTGTTTCCGTGTCTCTTTTAGTAATCCCTGTTGATTTTAGCGAAGCTGTTAGATCTGTTTTGATCAATTCTCTTGCTAGATAACTTCTTTTCTTTTGTCTATCTGCAATACAGCCTCCTGTAAAGACTGAATATATGTTGTCATGTGAGATTTTCTCTCTTGCTAAGATATCTAAGTTCCACCAGATTTCTTTTGCTATTGTATACTTTTTTTTTATCCACTCTGCTTCATCTTTTTCACATGCTGTAAGGTGTTTAAAGTTTTTTTTCTTCTTTTTGCATTTTCTACATATTGCTGTTTGGTATAGGTCTTCTCAATTTATTTGTTGTATATGTAGTATGAGAAGAAGACTATCTAGATATTTACGTCTGAAGCTCCATTTCTTGTTTAGTTTTAGAAAACTTGGTTTTTTTTTTTTTTTCTTCTTTCAGAGAACTTAAAGATCTTCTAGTTTTGTTTTTCGATTCTTCTTTGGTATATCTAATCTTTTTGGCCTGTGTTAAATAGCCAGTCTGCTCTTTGGAAAGTTTGTATTAGGGTTTTGAGAAAGCTTCAAATTGGGGTTTTGATTGGCTGATTGTTTCAAGTTGGTCTTAGTATTATACCCTGTGTTTTTTTTATGCTAATGGATATTATTTCTGCTTCTTGTACACCTTTTTTTGCTACATTGTCTGCAAAATTATTTAGTATATTGCCTGTATGTACTTTTATTTTGTGAAGTTGTATATCTAGATTCTTGGTAGATAGGATCTTTGTAATCATACCCAGTATACTTGGGTTTTTTATCTTATACTAGCTTCTAGAGTCTTTAGCTTTTTGACTCTTCTTAATTGCTTATATTGCTGCCATACTGTTTATAAAGATATCAATCTTGCTATTATTTAGGAATATTAATATGGCTATAAGTATTGCTACAAGTTTAGATCTAGTAAAGGAAAACCATCTTTGAATTTTGCCTTTAAGTTCTCTAATTATTGCCTCCTTATTATCTAGTTAAACTATTCCATACCCTGCTCTGTGATTCTCTGTTCTTTCTCCAATGAGTAAGCCATCTGTGTAGTAGGTTATTTTCTTGTAAACTATGTTTTCTTTTAGTGCTTGTATAAGTTTGCTCTGTTTTTGTATATATATTATAGAAGTTGAAATTATATATATTTCCTAGCTTATATCCTCTGCTACATGTTCTATTTCTAGTTTTAAATTCTCTTTGGCTTAGTCCCTTGTTGAAACTATGAGGTCTTTCAGTTGCTTTAGACTTATTGCTGATGTCTAGCCACTTCTGAGTCTTCTTTTAATCCACTGACTTATGACTTCTACCTCATTGCTGTTGATTTTTTATGATTTGTTTGGAGAAGTTTGAGATGCTCATAGGGCAATATGTTTTTCTTATTCTTTTTCTCCTATTTCACTACATAGCTTTCAATTCAGGGATTTCTTCTCTACTTTGCCTAGGAATGAGTTGCTATGTATATTCTTTTTTTTTTTTTTTTTTTTTGGTATTAAGGTGAGGCCTTGCTCATATCTTTATTAATTAATTTATATAAGTAGTTA